ATTTGTACGTTTATTCATTTATGAACGCTGTTACAGAATTTGTCTTAGTGACATTCAGTGGAATAGTTTATTAAAAGATAACACTGAGGACTGTTTGAGTAACAGTCTGTCAAGTGTTCGCCCAACTATCGGAAACCTGTAACTTTATTATAATTATTTAAAAATACATATAAGCTTCACGCCTGACACTTTTGTAACTGACTAATATTTAAGCTAAACAAACAATGACCACAATGACAAAGGTATACAGCTAGTGGGGCAGACCATCAAAATCGATATTAAAACTTTCACAATAGTTTAGAAGAGAGGATTTCAGTATTAGGTATTTTTTATACTGGTACATATTTCTGTTGCCCAAACATAATTCCTGTATAATGTTATGGTTCTTAATTGTGATCACATTACAACAAGGTGTGACATGGTCCCTCTAGCAAATCTGACAAAAGCTGACAAAACATATCCTAAAAGTAATATCAATTTAGTCAAACAGTCTCAAGTAGGGAGTAATTTTCTGAATTTTCATTTATTTCTATAAACACTGAATGCTGACAGCTCTTAGAGAGAAGGCCTCACCTACAGTCATAGTAGTGACATATACAGTCCAACAAACAAAATGTGAACAGCGTCATCCATAATCCTGATCGTCTGACTTAGTAAAACGTCAGTCACAATAGATCGAGAGGAGGTTTTCTGTATTCTGTATGCATTATGACCCTTTTTCTTAAATGATGTATACACTTTCTGAATAACTAGGTCTCCTGAATTTACAACTGTGGCCCTATAGATCTTGTTTGGATATTATTTTTGGGGTCTGTAGGGAAAAACATGGATGATAATTATTCTATATGTGAGTCAAAAAAAATCTATTATCTGGTTTAGTTGTATTTAAAATAAATACATAAAATCCCTTTCTTAAAAACATTGTCAAACTTATTTGGTAGCCTGATTATCATCGTGTATTGATCATATATTTATCACACTTATAAAAGTAAATCTTATAAAACAAAGAGAGCTGGTTAATGACATTGTGTCAGAACAACGGTATGAAAATGCATTTGGTAACCTTTTATTCAAATTTTCAAGCTAGATTAAAAGAGTATATACAAATTGCACAATGCTTGATTTTGGGAAAAAGTTGGAAAACTATCTTGTAGTGTTTTCACCCATGGCAGGCGGTGCTGCCCTGAGCGGTTGACCTTCCTGAATGATGTGTGTGTGTGTGTGTTTGTGTGTTTGTGTGTGTTGAGGAAATGTTTGGAGTTGGTATTCCCTATTTTTAAAAACGCTGCAACAACATGATTCTTTTGTAATATCATAGGAATTGAATTTAAATATAGAACTGTGAGACTTGTGAACCATTTAAACTTAACAAAAGTATTACCGCTATTAATAAGCAGTCCTAACACCAAAACCTTTACTAGGTTTTAACGGTGTAGGTATTTTCTACCGTCGGTCATCTGAAGTGTGTTGTGGTGTAGGCTTTTTCATTTAACTTAATCTGTGCTTTTTAATTAGAGTAAAATATTCTCAGGATGGAGACCTCGCATGTGCGGTTTCATTCAAACTCAGCAGGTATCTGAAGAATGCGAATATTGACATGAGTCGCATTTGGAAAATATTTTCTCGTATCTGAAGTTGACTTATGCCTGACAAGTTGCTGTTTAAAAAAACATTTTCAATTAACCGGAACTTTATGGGGGTAGATTCCTGGTGAAGTCATAAATTACATCTTCAAAGATCAACAGACAAGCGGTTACATATGGTCTGTCTACTATTTTTCAGTAGATAACCAATAGCATATTGATAGTATATGATATTTATCACGCTGATAAAGGTCGGTTCAGAAAAATACAATCATATACAACTATTACAACTATAAACTAGATCATAGCTACATGCTCACCCTAGTAATAATCTAAGATATTGACAGTTTTTTATGTTTTTTATT